TGTGCGTTGGCATCAGTGACTTCCACGATGGCAGTGGCGGTGTTGGTCAGGCCGTTGCCCTCCTGGTCCGCAGCCTGGATGATCAGTGTGTAGTTGGGAGTGGTCTGCAAGCCAAAATCACCACGGTTAGGGCAAGGATGAGGTCCGGTGTGTCCTCCTCCTCTGGGGGCATCGCCTGCCTGCTTTTCCACCCTTCTCCAGCCACGGTATTCACTTGCCGATGTCCCTGCTGACCACCTGAACGGCTGGCAGTCCACCCACTCCCAGGGCTTGGCAGGGATGGGGGGCCCCTGCGACGTACCCAGTGCAGATCCCCAATGGGCTTGGGGATGCAGGCACCCCCAGAGCAGGGGATGGTGACCCAGGGGTGGCAAGTCCCCAAACCAGACAGACCGTGGGGCTCTGGCATCCCCAGCTCCCTGTGGCAAGTCCCACCGCGGAGCTGCCCCAGGGTCCCCCAGGACACGGCAAGGGCGCCCACCTCCCGATCCAGCCCCGTGCCAATGACGCTGATGATGCCCTTCTCCGGGTCGATGGTGAACATCTGTTGGGCGCTCTTGGGCTCCTCGCTGAGGATGGAGTAGTTGATGATGCCATTGTTCACATTGATGCCATCGTCTGCATCCGTGGCGTTCACAGTCATCACGGATGTGCCTGGGCAAGGGGACAAGCAGGGGAGATTTTACTCATGGGACAAAACCCCCCAGACACCCTGGCACAGCTCTGGCTTGGGGCTCTGCATGGTCCCAGCCACGGGGCCCCTGGCTCGCCGGTCCCCCACGCACCCGGCTTCGCGTTTTCCTCGATGTAACCGATGAAGACTTGCTTGGTGAAGATGGGCCGGTTGTCATTCTGGTCCGTCACGGTGATGATGATCTCCATGGGATCCTCCACGGGCTGCCCGCTGGCCGAGACGGCGTGGGAGAAGAGCTGCAAGGGGCTCCGTCAGCCCGCCCGTGGCCCCGGGGACCGGCCCCTCTCCACCCCGGCCCCCCCACTCACGACGTATTTATCGATCTCCTCCCGGTCCAGCGGCTGCGTCACCTTCAGCCACCCCGTCTCCCGCTCGATGGTGAAGACGCCCACGGGGGGGGTGTCCGCCCCCTGCCCCGTGATGCTGTAGAAAACCTTGGTCTCCTTGTCCTTGTTGGATTTGATCTGGCAGCGAGGCAGAGGGGGGGTCAGAGGGGTCCCGGCGCTCCGGGGTCCCCCCTGCCCCGCGCCCCGGCCCCACGGGGCCGCGTACCTGCACCAGCTTCTTGGGGAAGGGCCCCCGCTCGTTCTCGGGGCAGTTGATGGGGGGGATGACCCAGTCCCTCTTCTGCCGCCGGAGGCCATGGCCGGGCTCGGGGAAGGTCAGCACGTAGGGTGCCACATCCTGTGGGGAGAGCGGCCCGGCTCCGTGGCCGCCCCCTGGCCAACCCCTCTGCATCCTCTGCACCACGGAGAGGGGCTGCGGCGACCCCCGGGAGAGGAGCTGCGCTTTACCTGCTGCGGCTGGTGGCGGC